AGAAACTGAGTCAAGGCTCTACGCTCTGCAGCCAACAGCACAGAACAGTGATGCAGACAGCTGGCTTCAGGCTTCCATGGCTCCCCAGTGAAAGACCACCCCAGGGCTCTCCTAATGTGAATGAACCAGCGGACTCTGAGTCTCCTGCTCATCCTCGCCATTTTTGCAAGCACGTCTGTTATTGAAGGCAAACTCGGCATTTGTTAAAATGCAGCCTGGAAGCATCTGAAGATGCAGCATTCTTATTGTAAAAACATACAAATGTATTTTAAAACTTATAAAGCATATCCTGATTTATGTCCCAGATAAAGCCTCTGACTTCACTTCATGCATATTAGCACTGCTTGTGTTTCAGTACGCTGGTATCTGAACACTCAGCGATGCCATGGTCTTTATGCCAACCAACCCTTACAAATCCAATGTTTTTTATTGTCTGTTTTTCTGAAGTCTCTCCTTCACCTGAGCTGGAAAATCAAGGCACTTAACATCTGGAAAAATTAAAGCTTTGGAAGTCTGCCTGTCTGATTGCCATGGTGTTGTTACAGAATTTTTGTTCCTTACGATTCTCCCATGCAGCCCAAATATTAACTGCCAGAGATTAAATCCAATGCAAGCTCTTCAGTTGTTTTCCATCACTTTGACTTGCCCATATGGAACATTCCCAAAGCATCAAAAGTCATTAGTATTTTTTAAAAACTTATCATTTCTGTATCAGAAGTGCTTTTCAGTGATCCTAAAGGCTTCTCTCTCTGATAAATGCCATCACTGAGGTATTGCAGCTGCTGTCAACAATGCCACAGATACCGGGTATAAGAACAGTAGCAATGAAAATACATAAGGAGAGTGGTGAGGGGAGAAACAGAACTGAAGTGCTCTTGAAAAAGGAAGTTGGATTAATTTTCCCACTGGATTTTTCTTGTTTACACTTAGCTTGAAATCTTGGAAGGAAACGTAATGAAATTATTACTTGGTTATTTTACTTTGAAAAATAGCCATATCCACTGGGAAAATAAGAAAACCTTAAAAATATAAACAAGTTATATTCAAGTGAGTCGGTCGTTCCTCTACCAGAGTGCCATCTCTCTCTGCTCTCTTTGCAGCATTTCCTTCTTACCATCTCCAGCCACCTTTTCATCCCCCTCCCCACTTCCAATTATTAATTTTTGTCTCAATACCATTCTCTCCATCCTCTAAGATCTATTTCAGAAGCTAGCTGCCACTTCTTCATGGACACAGGCATTTGGGGTACACTGTTGTTGTGTGGAAGGGGCCAGGCTTTCCTGTTGATGACATGTGACCACTCTCGACCAGGACACTCGGTTCACATGCGTGCAATGAACCCTGCAGGAGCCTCTGTGCCCTAACAGACTCGTGACACTGGACAATCTTCAGGGAAGTTCCTGCATGTCAGCGGTTGGGTAGGATGAACTGTATTTTCGGTGAAACATGACTGTTATTCTCTTCCCTTATTTAGACATAAGAGGGGTTTTGTTACTTTTTTTGGTCTTTTATGATCAGAAATTTCATTTTATTTATCCAGACTTGTGTTTATGTAACTACAAAATATTATTGTAATATGTGCTTTCTAAGTATGGACAATCCAACAGGATAAACCTGTGAATCCGTGTCACTCTCACTACCACTAAGCATCCCCAGAACAGTTCTCAGGATCTGTAACTCTAATATACATACATACCTAACAAGTAATTCTGAAGAGCTCAGTAATTTTCCTCATTTAAAATCTTGGATGATAAGTTGTTGGACTTGAACACATTTCTTCTGCTTTTGATCACCCAACATCAAATTACAGGCTATAACATAAATTCTAGACGTTTTGCAACCTACTTGTCACTAGATTCAGGTTTCCTAATTTTTCAAGAAGGGGGAAGGGCTGTTGGATTCAAAGCGAGCGCTGACCTGCACTGACCCCTTCTGGAAAGCACCAAAAATGTATCATTGGAAACAAACCTGTACTGATTCAGGGGGTGCGTGTGGGAACTACTTGACCTAATAGCTTTTTCCATCTCTATTCCTATGACTTTTAATCATGTTTGGTTGGAACAGCCTCAGCCTTCACAAGCTATTTGCATGGGTAAGGCTCTGGAGCAGATATACATGTCATCCATTAGCATCCAGCAGACCAGAAAAGGCCCAAAGGACGAGAAAAGTTTCTTTGTAGCTGGAAGCAGAAAATAGTAAGACATTATAAGAAAAATGGCAAAACATAGTCCATTTTCAGACAAGGACAGAACACAAATTAGTATGAAAAGAAAACAGAGCCTTACAGAACGTCTACAATGTGTAATCCCAAAGCATCTAAAACAAGAGAATACAATTTCTTTGAGAACAGTCCCATAAAATCTCTGGAGGCTATAAGCAATCGGGACATAAGTTTCTAATCTAAAATATGATACTTCTTTGCTCCTGAGCAGACTCACACTTGGGAGCACAGGTTTAATTTTTATTCAAAAGGAAAAGGACTAATTCTTCAATGGCCAGTGACATCCTGTTCTGTTCCTTGGAAGTGTCCAGTTCTATCTAAACTGGATGACCCTCCACAGTGCTGACAAATCACAGACCATGGCTGAACCGGCTTACAGAAAGAAAATAATTTTCTTTTCTCTCTTGTGTACATGAACATAATATTCAAAGCTATATTTCTTCGCCCTTGAACACAAGGGCTTGATGAAATAAACACATTCAAAAATTATCTGCAAGAAATCAGAAATATGTCAAATTTCCAAATTTGGAAAGAGATTATGGGCTTCAACTCAAACTGGCACATGCTTTGTTTGTCTCCTTGGGACTCAATGGTCTGCACTGCTAACAGTTGTAGAAAATACAAGACAAAAAAAAACAACCAACCAACCAAAAAAAAAACAAACCACATCTCGGGAGAGGACACAAATCACTCAATCCAGAGAGTACAGGTTTTTAAGAAAGCAATTATCTTCCTTGTTTACATTAAATTATGTGTCACATAAATTCCTTTGGAGACAGCGTGTCTTTAAAGGTGAGGCAAGGAAGTGGAGTACTTACTGTATTTGAACTACCACCATATTGCTGGCCTCTTCCTGTCTGACCAAAAGCCACACTGCTGCTGAAGTATCTGCTTCAAAAGTCCCACGACATGGAGAAACTCTTGGACAGCCAGTAACCCTTTGTCTACATATCTTTACCATGATAAGCCAGCACTGTGCTTATCAACTGTTGGTTTCCACGACATGAAGAAAGCCACCCCTTTAGCCTTCTCAATCACAAGAGGCCAGCAGAAGAAATTGCATTTATTTTAAGACATTGAATAAACTCTCCTATTATGTTGTTGCAGACAAACTCCTTCCACTTGGATAAAAGTCACTTTATAAAGGAAAAAAACCCCCAACCCTCATAAAAATGTGACATCACTACATCACTGTGCATAGCAATGTTCCTTCTCCTCATAAGGATGATATTCCCAGACTGGATGGCAGTAAATATTTTGTTTGGCTCTTATGTTTAAGATTTTGGACAAGTTAAAGATTACCCTGCTTCTAGAAATCATTATATAGCATAAAGCAGCAAGAGAGGAAGAGATCTCTTCCGGCAAGCATTCTTACTCAATTTGCTCTCTGAATAACCGTGATGGCCCTGTTTTCATCGCTTGGCATAAAGCACAAGAGCCTGGACAGAAGCCCTGCCTTCATTCCCACTTCTTTGGAAAGTCCCAGAGTTAAGTGCATAGATCTGCCACATAAAGAGATTTGCAAACTAGAGTGTAACAAGAAGCAAGTGCCCACAAGAGGATGGAGGTGGAAGACCTACTGTGACAGGAAGAGCAAACTATATTTTACAATAAATTTTACATTTATGTGACAGTTTACATTTTACACCACATTTTAGCTATAAGCTCAGAAAATGTACAAAAGACCTCGGATGATCGCTGTTGACCACTGATGGAACTGAATGGCATTAATTTCCATCAATGCACATGACCCCCAAGTGATTTTAATTTACTCAGTTAGTTTTCGCTTGCTGAAGTGACAGAATGCAAACAAGCACTTGGAGAAACCCCATGAATGACCTTTCCCATCGAGTACAGTTCAACTGAAGTACTCTCTTTACAAAGATGCAGAATTACCATCTAAGATGAACTGTTTGTTGGTATCTGAACTCTTAGCAGACTAGGCAGGCTCTAAGCGGGCACCTCTAGGCTACCTTCCATGAAAGGCAGGTGTAAGAAGCCAAGAGGTGAAGCATGCTAAGAAAGATGATGGGAAAAGTGACCTCTCAGCAGCCTACAAGCTGCCCAAGGCCTGACAAAGGCAAGTGATATTAAAACAAAAATGGAAAGCGTTTAAACTGGACAGACTAGTTACAAGAGTTACATCCTGGCAACATGCTACTTCAAATCTTCACATGCTGAAATACACAAACCACCATGGGAACATGCAGGGACCTCAGGATCCATACAAATGTGGTCATTTGAAAACAAGCCCCTTCCACACATCCCACAGAAGGCCTGAAACACTCCTTGACATGAGAGTCACCCCAGAGCCCATCCAAATAGGGCAGCCATATAGTTCAAGCAAAACCACCCCTTGGTCTTCCTCTCATTGGAGAGCTAGGAGAGACTCAAGAGCTGTGGCAGGAGTGTAGCTCAGACTTCCATAACACAAAGGCAGCAGTACATCCAAATTCACCTCCATTCTCCTGAACATGAGGCAGCAGTGTGCCCAGGTGGCCAAGGCCAATGGCATCCTGGCCTGTATCAGGAATAGTGTGACCAGCAGGACTAAGCAAGTGATTCTTCCCAGTGGTGAGGCTGTACCTCAAGTCCTGTGTCCAGTTCTAGGCCCTTCAATTCAGGAAAGCCATTGAGGTGCTGGAGCAAATCCAGAGAAGGGCAACTGAGCTAGTGAAGGGTCTGGAGCACAAGACCTACGAGGAGCAGCTGAGGGAGCTCGGGTTGTTTAATCTTGAGAAAAGGAGGCTCAGGGGGCTTTATGGCTCTCTACAACTACCTGAGAGGAGGTAGTAGCCAGCTGGGTATCTGTCTCTTCTCCCATGCAACAAGCGACAGGACAAGAGGACATGGCCTCAAGCTCCTCAAGGGAAGGTTAAGGTTGGACATTAGGAAGGATTTCTTAACAGAAAGCGTGGTTAAACATCGGAATTGACTGCCCACGGAGGTGCTGCAGTCACATTCCCGGGAGGTGTTCAAGGACCGAATGGACGTGGCACTTAATGAAAACGAAAACCCCGGGTGGAAGGCGCTGGGCAGGGGAAAAAGAACCTCCCGCCCCCTTCTGCCCCTCGGCTGCCGAGGCGGGGGGGACGCGCCCCGAAATGGCGGCGGCAGCACCGCCCTCCCGCCGGCGGAAGCGGAGTGACGGCAGCGCCGGCGGCGGCAAGATGGCGGCGTCCAGCCTGCTGTGCGGGGGGTTGAGGCGGCTCTTCGCCGGGTTCTGGGGGGCTGGCTGGGCCGCCCCGCCGGCCCGGGCCCTCCGCCAGGGTGAGTCCGGGGGCGGCCCCACGCTGCCCCGCTGTCCCGCCGTCTCGCCGCTGTCGCGGAGAGATGGTTGCGGTCACTGTAATTCGCCTTCTCCCAGTCCCCAAATACTACTTCTTTCAGGCTGAATGACTCTCATTGTGTCCTTCTGTCTCTTTTTTTTTTTTTAGTTGTGGAGGTGACTGAAGGCAACACGACCACAGTAAGTCCCTGTACCCCTTTTTCTCAGTAGCTGCCTTTGCTGTCACTTCTCCTTCCTTCAGCCTCCAGTCATGTGTGTGGCCGTGTGTGTCCATGCTCGCACCCCCCCTCCCTCCCCATCCCCCCTAGCAAAGTTAAGAAAAAAAGGGCTGTAGGGTGCGTTGCGAGTGCAGGTAAGCAATGGAGGATTTGGCTGCCAAAGGTCAGGATTGTCACCCTGCTGCTGGTGGCAGGTGCCTCCACTCTGAGCCACCTGTGAGCACCAAACCCCTCACTACAATCCTGGTGAAGCTGGAAGCCCTGACTGGAGGCATTCAGAACCCAAAACACCACAGTTCTTCAGAGGGTTCATTTCTTAAACTGGTGACACTCGACAGTGTCTCGAGTACAGGCACAAAAGAGGGCATGGTGGCTTTGTCATTCCATTGTGGGCTGGCAACATGATGTGGCACTGAAGGATGGCTCTGTACCAGCTGTGTGCCATGCACATCTCTTGCCTTTGATCTATGTTGTGTTTGGTAACCACTGTGTGTGCCATACTGACTGCAGGTGATACAAAGCTTGCATCTTATAACACACATGGTGAGAAAAAATATTTGGTGAAAGGGGTATTTTCAAAGAAAGGGCTTAAATACTAAAGGAAAACAGCCCCTGAAAATAGAACAGAGGTTCTGAAGTAACTGCTGAAGAAGAACATCTTCTCAGCTACACTTTAAGACAGAAGGAAAAGATTAAAGCAGTAGAATTCAAATTTTACCTAATTAACATCGTCTGATCTATTGCACTTTATCGAAAGAATTGTCAAGGAGATTGCAATATTCTGCTCACATTATTTATGCCAGTAGCAATCTATGCCTTGACTGGAGACAGGTAACACAGATATTTTGAAATATATAAATAAGGAGAGTGGAGAAGGAGTAATTTGGGAATAGTTAGAAGACAGTGCACCTAAATGCTAATCTCTATATACATAAATAATAAGAATGGGATGGACTTTTTTTGCTTGCTAATGAAACAGACAAAACCTGGTTGTTCATGCCTTTGAAAGTCTTAAGTATTTTTGTCAAAAATGTGTTTTCTCAGAAGTTTTGTCTTATTTGTATTAGTGGACATTGTCATGTTTGAAACCTGCATGGAGCAGGTTATTTGTTCTATTAGAGATTATATATCTAAAACATATAGCAGTTAACAAGATCTCTTAAGACTGTCAAAAAAACCAAGTTTAAGGTGTGATACTAGGTGTGATAGAGAGTATCTTTTTCTTGCCTTGAAATGCCAGGCAACTAATCTCTGCCCAGAAAACTGAAGAGAAGAGCTTGCAAGCATGCCCTGAAGTTGTTCTAACCAAAACAAGGGGTAGTGTGCACACCAACAACACACACAATGTATTTTGCACTAATATAATTTACATCCCTTTACAAAGGAGATGTAAATTATAATCTCAAAGTCCCAAAACATTAACTGAGGTTTGTTGTAAAAAAGGTATGCATTACATTAGCAGAGCCCTCTATAAAACTAATTCTTCCTGGAGATTTGGAGGTTTTTGCTGAGTAATATCCTAGCATCAGTCTAGGATCCATCAGTGCCCCTGGATGAGGAAAGTCTTGTAACAAACAGTGTAAATTGAGAAACCACGTTTCTCAGTGTATCCATTGGTCACTCCATTTATCCTGCCAGTTCTCCGTTCGTATTTCCTGAATCCATCTTTCTGTGCTTATCTTTCTATGTGTCTTTGGTTTTATCAGTATTGAAGGAAGTTTTTGACATGAACCAGATGAATGAATCCCAGGGAAATCTGGATTGCATCAGCATACTGAGAATGTAGAGCCTCTTTATGCACTCTTAAGTTGTTTAACAGAAAAATAGCAACTGAGTGAATTAGCAGTATTGAAATCCTCAGTAATTGGGGAATAATTGCTAAAGCATGTACACTGGAAGTTATCTCAAGAAACAGTGATCTTGACATAGCATTCTGAATCTGTATTCATTTCCAGCATGAAATTACAGTCAAAGTACAATCTGAAGCCAGACTGGCAAGAATCAAGACCAAATACACCAGCTTCCCAAAAAATAACTTTACTGATTAATAAAAAATTAGATACTGGCCTACATTTTATATTCATAGTGTTAGGTATTTGTTTCTGTAAAACTGACTGTTTTACTTGTGGGAGGTAGGAATCTTACTTAAAATTTGACAGTACTGCCTCTTTGAGATAGCAAGATGCTTGAACTACAAATAACTTATGTTTCCATTTTCCCATCACCAGACAAGAAAGGCACAACCCCAGAGTATGAAAGAGTTCTGCCAGTTCAGCTGGATGCCAGTTTGCTGTGCATGCTTACAGAAAATGTCTTGCTTTTCTTTTCCCAGATTTTCCAGCACAGAACCTGATGGTTTCTTAAAAGTAACCTTGCATTCCACCCAGGGTTTCTTTTCAAACTCTCTGATGCTTGCAGTGTTTGAGCCTGTCAGTTGATGCTCAGAATCTGCATTTAATCTTAATTTGACCAGAGGAAGCTTGCACAATATTTTGGAGAAAAAAGGCTTAGTTTTATTGGTTTTTCTGTCCATCTGGCTGCAATTTGAGATAGCTTTTGCTTCTATTAGTAAGTCCTCAAGAAAAAAAAAAAACAAGTGCACATGTAGATAGACTTCATATTCCTATATTCCTACATATCTGCTTTTAAAAAACAAATTTGTCGAGTTCTTCCTTTACACACCTTCTACATCTCTTTGCATGTTACTTGTGAGAAAACTTGAGTGTTAGACATCACCACTTTGTAGTGATGTAGAAAAGATCATCTTATAGTCTCGAAAAAGAATTGTCCAGCAAATTAAACTGGATAAAATATTGGTGTATGTAAAAAAAAAAAAAAAAGAAAACCACAAACTCCACAGACGTCTCCTAGCAATGCTTTCTTAAATTTAACTTTTGCTCAGAATTTGCCCTCTTTGTGATTTATAATCACTACAACTTCAAGGCATGGTGTTTCAAAAGAGTACTGCAATAAACAGAATTCAGGTGAATATGAGAACTTCACACTGACTGTCAACTAGGTAATGTTTAGTAACCTTTACACAAGAATTTACCAAAGGGTTTTCTATGCCCTCTGGATTTGTTCTTCTCCCCGTAGTCTGTGGCATAGATGTACCAAAGTGCTTGGTGTACCTATATAAAAGTGAGTTGAATGCAGATACTCTTTTCCTTACATCTGCACAGAACTGATCAACGTATTGCGGGCTTCATGAAAAGTATTCCTTTATTCACAGGTGCAGGTAGAGGTCTAAGCTATGCCTGATCACTATATCCTTTAAATTTCTTCCTAGATTGAAGGGAAAATTTTAGAGGATGCTGAAGCACCAACTCCTCCAAACCCCTCTGGCCAGTGTCCCATCTGTCGCTGGAACCTGAAGCACAAGTACGATTACGTGGTAAGTTTAATGAAGGAATTCCCCCAACTTCATAGCTAGATCAGATGGCCCTCAGATCTACGTACTGCACAACCTGCCCCTCTTGTCTTTGGCTGGGTGCAGTAAAAATACTTAACTCCATCTCTGCTTCTCTTGGGTGTAACAAGAGCTTTCTATGGAGTAATCGTTTGCCTTGGCTGATGGTGTTCCTGGGGAAAAAAACCGATGAGCTCGTATCAAATAGATTTGGAATTATACAAATGGCCATCTGCTCTGGGAAGGCCATATATTTCTTCTGTGCCCAGCTGCCTTTCAGCATTGCACTTCCAGGAGAATCAAACTGGAATGCAGCATTAAGTCAATGGATACAGGCGTGTTCTAACTCCGGAGAGGCCAAAAGACCTGGCTAGATCAATTATATGACTTCAAGCACTACAATTTCTCATTGGGTCATTGTCCACTAAGTTAATAACTGTTTCATATAACCTTTAAAAGTGTTGATGAGTACAAAGGAGAGCATGCATTTTTTACATACCTTGCAACAGAAAAAACAGGTTTTATTCAAGCTTTTTGCAGGAAATGCTAATGAGAGGTTCATTAACTAATGAGGGGATAACTAACACTAAATCTAGACTATGGGAAGAAAATCCTGTAGTACTTTAAAACAGAAGTACAACAGTTAAGAACACTTTAGAATAAGAAGCATGAGATAGAAGATGCAGAATGTAACTTTACAAGAGGTCATTCAAACACAGAGTTTACAAAGGGACTAAGTTCCCCCCTTGCAAACTAAAAAAACTCAGAATAAGTTAATGTCAATAGGATTAGAGAGATATAAATACATTGGAGGAAAAGAAATGTTTGTGAGAAAGAAATTCCATTAATGAGAGAAGGGGACTGAAAGCCACATTTGTTGCAGAAAGACTAAGCATGTAGTCCTAGTGCACACACAGAAAAGAAAAATCATGTTTTAATATCTGTGTAGTAACGGCAATGTTGAAAATGTAAAACAACAGGAAAAAACAGGTGTAGAAATTACTTAAGCATTGAATTAGGTACAGACCAACAGGTCTGGATTGCATGTTGCCCCAAGATCTTGAAGGATCTTAAAGGAATTACTAACAAATATATTACTTCACTCACAGGATTTTTTTTAAAGCATGAAAAAAAAATCCTAAGGAATCACCAAA